AACTTCGCTGTAAATTAACATTTTTCAGGCCAAGATGAAGAATATGTTTTTCAAGAGAATAGAAAAGATTTTTTGCAACGAACAAGTAAATGTATTGATGTCATGGGAGACTACATTGAGAAATAAGAAATATTTCATAATTTTATCTTTTTTCTACCATACCCATACAGAGAATACATTCCTCCTTCCTTTCTCGTCATATCCTTAAAAAGCAAGTAATGTGATTTATAAACAGTAATTCATTTTATTTATAGGAATATTAACTTCATTTCAAAATAAGTATCTACATATTATTTGTTTTACTTTTATTTCTACTTTATATTAGAAAATGACAGTTATTCCGAAGCAATATATCATAAAAATGTGAATACCTATGTTTTTACCAATATTTTAAAGTACCTTGGGATAGGGATAATTCCGAATAATAAATAATTCCGATATCCGATAATTCCGGATAATAAACATAAAAACGCACTTGAATGCAACCGAAATCATCCCAGAATATTTCGCAATTTCCCCTGTGTAAATAAAATAAGAATCAAGTTTATAAACCCGTTATTTTAAAAAAAACACTAAGTATCTTATCTTATGGGGGTCATTGTAGAAGCGTGCTCGTCGCGACCCCTGCCAGCCCTTTTCAGGGCTGCAATTCTACTCAGCTGCGCACCCATGCCAACGAGGGTTAGGGCGTCCCCCCAAGGCAACGCACACCAGCTCGTCCCCGTTGGTGTGGAATGCAGCGCGCAAAGCGGCGATGGGGACCGCCACCCGTCACGCACAGCCCGACACGGCGGAAGGTGGAGGACAGAGTGCAGAGTTGGCACGTGGAATGTTAGAGGAGGCATGAGAGATAAGATGAATCAGTTGATCGAAATAATGAAAGAAAGAGAATTAGATGTCGTGTGTATGTCGGAGACCAAACGGAAGGGCAGTGGTACTGAAGAGCTCCCTGGCGGGGCGTTTGCTCTATGGTCCGGAGTCCCGGAGAGCGAGAACGCCTGCCAGGGAGTGGGGGTGCTGCTGTCTTCTCGGTTGGTCGATGTTATGACTGAATATAAGTTTGTGAACTCAAGACTTCTCTGGGTTCGCTTTAAATTGGGACTGACGAAGTTATTCCTTTTGGCTGTTTATGCGCCGGTAGCTTCGTCGTCCAGGGCTGAGCTGGAGGAGTTTTGGGAGAATGTAAGAGAAGTTCTAGATTTGGCTAGGGGAAACGAAAGAATTGTTGTATGTGGTGATTTGAATGGATGGGTTGGTACCGCTCGACCAGGGTACGAGTCGGTACTTGGAAAGTTTGGCGATAAAAGGGTTAATGATGCTGGCAAGCTTATACTGGCGGTATGCAAGGAAAAGGGTCTTCTTGTGACAAACACTATGTTTAATCACAAGAAAATCCATATGTATACTAGAGAAAGAAAGAATGAGAGAAGTATGATCGATTTGTTCCTGGTGGATGACCGACTGCGAAAACAGGTTATGGATACGCGAGTGTTCAGGGGTGCTGACCTGGGAACGGATCACTATCTAGTGATTACTAGATTTAGGGGTCTGTTCGCGGGTTGGCGCTACCGGACGGCAGTGACAGAACCACAGTCGGTCTGTCGCATCCGAAGCTGGAAGCTTCAGGAAGCGGATACTAAGGACAAATATCATGCGAGGGTAGCTGAAAAGCTTGACACCATCGATGGCAGAAACGAATGTGTAGAAAGAACATGGCAGAACCTTAGGGATGGAATGGTAAGTGCAGCGGAAGAAGTGTGTGGAACAATAAAAAGAGGCAGTAGTAAAAGAAGAGATGCATGGTGGAATGATGAAGTGAAAGAAGCTGTAAAGAAGAAGAAGAAAGCATGGTTAGACTACTTGACCTCTAGTAATGATAAGGATATGAGAGAGAAGATGAAAAAAAGATATAGGCTGCAGAAAGTTCACACGAAAGCATTGATTGAGGAAGTGCGTGAAAGGTGTAGAATGGAAGCGGACGAAAGGTTGGCGCACAACTTTAAGGAGAACTCCAAACTCTTCTGGAAAGAGGTTGGAAGGACCCGAAGTGGTGCGACGGCCTTAAGAATGAACAAAGTGCTTTCGAGAACTAATGACGTCCTCTCAGAAAAATCGGACGTCATGCAGCGATGGAGCGAATTTTATAGAGAAATGTATGCGTGTGATGATCTTAGTCCGGGGATGACGCCGTGACTGGTACGCCAGACCCGGACCTCGATGACACTGAGGTCATCAGTATGAAAGAGATTGAACGTGCGATTCGAAGTTTGAAATGTGGTAAGGCTGTGGGACTAGACAGAGTTACTGCTGAAATGGTCAAGTATGGTGGGCCTCGCGTCTGGGACAGCTTTCATCTGCTGTGCAATTTGTGCTGGCGGACGAGGGATGTCCCGGATGATTGGCGATCCGCAGTCATTGTGCCTTTATATAAAGGTAATGGTTCACATTTTGACTGCGGGTGCTATCGGGCGATCAGCTTGACCAGTTTAGCAAGTAAAATTTACTCGAAGGTTTTGACACGTAGGATGCAAGAGAAATCGGAAAGATTTCTATGGGAGGCACAATGCGGATTTAGACCTGGAAGAGGATGCACGGATCAAATGTTTTCTCTCCGCATGATCACGGAGAAGCTTCTGGCTGCTAACCAGAAGATTTTCTGTGCTTTTGTGGATCTTGAGAAAGCATTTGATAAGGTTGTAAGGAAGAAAATGTGGGAATGGAAAATGTTGCCGGGGTATGGTGTGGATGGTCGATTGCTAAGGGCTGTGCAGTCTCTTTACTGTGATTGTAAAGCCTGTGTGCGGGTAGGACATGACCTGTCACCCATGTTTAACGTCCAAACGGGCGTAAAGCAGGGTTGTGTCATGTCTTCCTGGCTGTTCATACTGTATCTCGACAGCTGTTTACAGAAGCTGAAAGATAGTTGTTTGGGTGTGAAATTGGGTGACATTAAAGTAAATTGTCTGCTGTATGCTGATGATGCAGTGCTTATTGCACCATCAGAGGCAGAACTGCAGGCATTAGTCACGTGTATGAAAGAGGAATGTGAAATTAAAGGTCTCCGTTTGAATGCTAATAAAACTAAGGTTCTGGTATTTGAAAGGGACGAAGAGAGAACGAAGTGTGAAATATGGGTAAATCAGGAATGTCTAGAACAGGTAAATGAAATTGTATACTTGGGGAGTGCTTTTAGCCGGGATGGAATATGTGATTTAGATGTGGACAGGCGTGTCGCTGCCGGGAACAAAGTCAATGGTGCCCTGACTGCGTTAGTCAAAAGGCAAGGCGTAGCGAAGAGTGCACGCCTTGCAATACATAACGCAGTGTTGGTACCGACTTTGTTATATGGCAGCGAAACCTGGGTATGCCAGAAGAAGCATAAAAGCAAGTTGAATGCAGTGGAGATGCGATCTCTTCGTAAAATGTGCGGCGTTACCATGGCCGACCGAAAGCGAAACGAAGAGATTCGCAATATGGCAGGTTTGAAAGATGACCTTATCACAAAAATTGATAAGGGCGTGCTTCGGTGGTTTGGGCACGTTGAGGGAATGAGTGAAGACCGAATGGTGAAGAAAATATATAGCGCGAAAGTTAATATTAAAAGGTGTCGAGGTAGACCGAGACTAACTTTCGAAGACCATGTGAGCAAATTGCTCGAAGAGGGTAGGGTCACGAGTACTCGGATACCTAGACGTGCATGTATGAAGAAGATAATGAATCTGAAAGAAGCGAAAGAGGTATGTAAGGATCGTGACACTTGGCGATCTGTTCTCTCTGGCTACCCCGTCAAGGATTGTGCGTGAAGATAAGTAAGTAAGTAAGTATCTTATCCGGGACATCTTTACATAAATAACTATGCCATTTACTTAAATCAATACAGTTAAAATAATTGAATTGAAAATTGAAACCTACTTCCCTGTAATTTATTAAAATGCATAAACTCCGTCATGTCTTCAAAATTTCTGTCAGTATTCCTCTTATGCAACCTTATATTTTTAATTTGAAACATGAATGCGAAAAAGATTAACTTTTCGGTTCATCGGCTTGTGAACATGGCGCAAGGCTTCTATTCCAATTAGGGAGATAACAGGTAATTCTGGGGCTCGCCGGCAGACTGTGGAATTAACGTTATGACGCATTATGACGAAGCGTTATTATTAAGATGTAGCGCATCTGTATTTTAAATTCGCTTTAACGGCTCTATGATCTCCCAGATTTGGCGTTTTTGCAATACTCTTTATTTTTATTCAACTTTAATTAATTATAAGCTCATTCAATATCTTGCTGAGCCTGCGACTTGATCTGAGCAGATGAGAGACAACAAATAATATCTTTCGAACCGTTTAACATGATATTATTAAACTGAAATATATATATAATAAAACACATGTAAAATAGTTTTCGAGATGAATTTGACTGTTAAGATAGATAAATTGAGTTTTAATTTTAATATTAAATCATACAAAATTTGAAAAGACAAAACACATTAGTTACAATTTTATTCATATAATACATGTGACAGGTGGTTTTATTCAACGTATTTATTAGTAAAATAATTTGTATTTTTGTCTTAGATTCTTCTGTACCGCTTGCTACCAAAAAGGAAAACAGAAAGATATCAGACCGTAGATATTCATCTTTATTTTAGTCATGGTCAAGTCAGGTTGACGACGCATCTACATTTTGTAATCGAGGATAAATGAATCTATGGGCCATACCATTCTCTTACCATCAGGTCAGAGCAGGACTATGTGCTCGTTTGTTTGTTTGATTCTATAAAAAATATTACTGAGCCTCCACATAGATTACCTCATAGGGGGAATATTTGCCATAGTTACCAAGCTTTTCAGGGGGCACTGTTCTTTTTTATTATTATCGAATATATTGCTACCCTTTAACTGCAACTTTTATATTATTTTATTAAAATATAATTTATGTGAACGTAAAGAGATATTATATTTCCATAGCATTATAATAAAAAAATAATTTTCTTCCAACAGATCTGCACGAGTTGGCAAGACATCTCTAGTGTCACGATTCCTAGGTACAAAATTCGAGGACAGTTATACTCCTACCATAGAAGACTTTCATCGTAAGTTATATCGGATTCGTGGGGAAGTTTACCAGCTGGATCTTCTGGACACTTCGGGAAACCATCCATTCCCAGCTATGAGACGACTTTCTTTCCTAACAGGTAACTTTTAAATTATCTTTATCATCATAATTAGGTACAGTCCTTCATAAGTCTACTTTTAGACCTTGGTCGCCTACAAGGAATGCTGCAAAACACGGTTTTGAGTCACCTGCATCTACTGAGTTCTTGCATGTCTTAGCAGGGTTAATTCAGCTAGTAGGGAGACTGACCTAAATACCGCTAAGCGGTACTTGGTTGCGGCTCAAATCTTTTCTTTCACACACACTGAGCACACGTCCTCAGCACAATTGGGGAATTTCGTGAGTCCCACTCGACTTTTGGATGTCCAGGTTGAGGAGTGTAAATACTGAGCACTGTGTGAATCGCACATCAGACATAGGGCTCTCATACTGCGGAATGGTCGGCGGTGTGTTGCCCCGATTTGGACGTAAAAAGGGAGCCTAAAATGTTGGCTTTCTGTTTTGCGGCGTGGGTCATGAAGTCATCGTCCCTGTGCAGAGACAGTAGTGATGGGTTACAAAAATTTCCTTGGACGACCTTAGAAACCGGAATGCACGGGTTCTCGAAGGAAGGCGAACTAAGTTCTCGCCAATTCTGCCAATGTTCATACTTTGCTTCGGCATATTTGTTTGTTTTGAAGGACCTGGAAGCGGGGTTATACTTCTTTCTAAGAATGCTGGTGTTTACATTCCAGACCGCCTAAGCATCAGCCCAGGCTTGAAAACACTCCTGCTTACTGCGTTCAAACCAAGGCTGAGATATGTGGATACCACAGTTGATGGAATTAATGGTTAAGTGTGTCCGTCGCGATGCCCCAATATATGTTGGCGGACTTCACATATCCTTGAAATTACATTTTTAATTTCTCAGACGTGCATGTTACTGCTGCAATGACAGAGCACGTGGTAAACCAGCATTTAAAATTACAATTAAAATTTTCTTTGATGCTGCCAGAGATCGAACCATGGTTGCGTATGGTAGTGCATGGTAGGCGCGTACTGTGAAATTTATGGCGACCGCTTTGTCCCTCAGATACTAAGGCTCATTTTTATAATGTGTCATTTGTATATAATGTCATTAATAACTTAAGGTGATTTGGTGCGATTTAAACCCCAAGCTTTAAGCCAAAAAATGAATGCGCTATTCACTCGCAATGGGACAGCTTCATCAAGGATTCAGAACTGATGAAGTGCGTTAGTGAAGATGGATCCTCATTTGGCCAGAATATATACCACAGGAGCCGACCGCAGCCGTTCTACGGGGGAAATGCGCTACAATCCTTGCGACTATCGAGGAATGTGGAACTATGTTATGTCCATAGAATAAGTCATAGATTTCTAATAATATACTAAAGAAATTAAGAATAGGATCGTGTGGGATTGGGCTATATAAAGCCTATGTCTCCAAACGTCATTTTCATGACAATATTACAACCCGTAGCCATTTTAGAGTTATTATTTTACTAGCTTTTGCCCGTGACTTCTTCTGTAACCGTTAAACTTAGACAAAAATGTATGAATATGAATATGATGTAAGAATATGATTTTGTCTTTGGACAAATAGTTCAATTATCGAAAAACCACTTTAAACTCAGTTTTTTTTTCTATTATATTGAAAACTAAGTGCGATATGGGTGGGAAATTGCTTAAAATAAAAATAAAAGATATATTGATTTTACTTAAAAATCATCACATAGGTAGATACGAGTACACGCATAGTTTTGTTTGGTGTTGAAATAAAAAAGTTTTAACAATCAAGTTTACATCAAAACTTTAAAAAATTAAAAAATAACATTACGTGAAGACTCATCACTCGAGCAACCCGGGTTCGATCCCCGCCGACACCAATGAACTTGTTAATTGCAATTTTAAGTGCTGATTTACCACGTGCTCGGCGGTGAAGGAAAACATCGTGAGGAAACTTGCATGTCTGAGAAATAAGAAAAAAATATTTCAAAGACATGTGAAGTTCGCCAACACGCATTGGGGCAGCGCGGCGGACATTTCCTTGCCCTAAAACCCTGTCGGAAATGAGAGGAGGCCTGTGCCCAGCAGTGGGACGTAAATATGCTGCAACTTTACGTGAAGACATTTATTGTATAAAATTGCAAAACAAAAAAGTTTTAATCGTCTTCTCGTTAATCACCATAAAAAACGCTGTCATTTCACTCTGTTTCTCTTTTCGTTCCATTCTGTGCGGGCATTGACCTAATCCAGTGAAACCGACTCGTGCTGTTGAGTGCGCTACCACATAATAATAATAATAATAATAATAAAGAGTTTTATTTGTCTCAATTCACACATGATAGTTAAAATTGTACAAAAAAATTATCACAAACTTATCTAGCAACATACTTAAGTGAAAACATACATTAAAAAAATGAGACAAACTGGCCTGTGACTCAGCTATGTGGTGATTTGAGGTCACCGCTGGTATTCTGCCACAGCCAACTTTTAAAAAACGCAGTAGCTTAACCTTATCTTGGCATTGACGTGAAACAACGTAAAGAAAAGACAAAAATGTATAAACATATGTGCTATGTAAATCGGCAAATTTATATAATATGAAACTTAATACCTGCCTCCAATTTTTGTTGTTCAAGTAACCATACTTTGCATTTCTTTCTAAATGATTTTATATTCACGATCTCCTGTAAAGGAGGAGGTATATTATTCCAAATTTTGGAGGCAGCATATTTGAAACATCCCTTCGCTTTAACACGCTTATAAGTTGGAAGTATATATAATAGTTTACCCCTTTGTCTCAAACGTGTTATTTGACATTTTGGAGATAATTTTTCATATAAATAATGAGGAGATTGCGAATTATTTAACGAGTGTACGAAACAAGCATATTTTAGTTTTCTGGTGTAACCCATATTTAAAATATTATTTTTGAGGAGATAAGGAGTTATGTGGTTAGTCTTAGGTATGTCAAAACAATAACGCATACACGCATGTTGAACCCTTTGTATTCTTCCTATAGTTTTCTGTGAAAGGCAAGGACCATATACCAAGTCGCAATAATGTAAATGTGACAAGACCAGACTGTTGCAAAGACGGAGCCGGATATTTGGTTTTAGAAAAGAACGAATTTTGTAAATAGATTTTAAAGATCCAAAACATTTTCCTATTTTTTGCTGTACGTGTTGTTCAAACGTTAAACCTTCATCCATGTTAAGGCCTAAGTTACGAATGCAATCATCTCGTGGAATAGTTGTGCCACTGATCATGATAGTTGGATCATTTTTTTTGATTGATGCAACCTGATGACGTGTACCCATAATTATACAAGTACTTTTTTTAGGATTCAGTAGTAGGCCATGAGACTTTGACCAAAGCTCTATTAATTTTAGATCATCATTGAGGCTAAACATATTAGAATAAAATAAATATTTATAATATATTTTTTAATTTTTAATTTTAGTTTGTAGTGCATTTTCCATACAATTATATCTCAACGTACCATAAACGCCACGCTTGGCAGGTGGTCTGGCCGATAGTGATAAAGTAGACGTTTCAACATGTTCCAAATATTAGCTTTAATAATTAAATAGACCGATTTCAAATCAATTTCCTTTGTTATATTGTAAAATGCTTTGTCAAATGGACATTGGGAGAGCAATTAATATACTTAAATTTGTTTCATATTCAATGAACCGAAAATATTCAGTCGATTCAGTAGAAGTCTTTCTATAAAATTTAAATTAAGAAAGATGATGATAAATGTTGGAAATCGAATACATTTGCACGGACAAAGTTTTGCTGTTAAACTTTCGTTACTCGATTTTCGAATTTAGAATTGTTTCGTAATATGTGTGATGAGTGGTGAGGAAAACGCATTATGGAACTATTAATTTGTGTATAGTCGCTTATAATCTTTAATTTTAAAATTAGTTACTAAAAGAAATAGGGGGCAATCATAACACAACAAGAACCGAATGAACGATGAATATGTGCATATACTTATAGCTAAGGTAGACGTGGAAGAGCCATGCTGCAGCTATATTAGTGGTATAGTTGTAGCACGAATGGGTCGGCTCGACCGGGGAAGGACCACGCTCTCACAGAATACCAACGTAAAATAGCAGCTTAACACTGCTGTGTTTCGTATGATGAGTGTAGAGAACCGGAGACCCTTTTTACTGGAAAAGAGGCATTCCATCTTAGTCCTCACGGGTGACAACGCATCTGCATTTTGATTCGCAAACGAGGATAAATGTTGATGTCTATGGGCCACAGCAAATACTTACCATCAAGTGGACTCGTTTGTGCTCGTTTGTCACACTATCCTAAAATTATGGAAAAGAATATTCAATTTTCTCTCATAACATTTCCAAACAGTATTTCAATATATCCAGGAAGTAATCCTTGATCAATTTATAACAAATTAACAAAGGAGACGTGAAATATATAACAAGTCTACTTTATCGTTGCAGATTTGTATAATAATTTTTTTGGACGTAAAAATGTCGTTTGTCAATCCACGAGACCGATTGTAAGACCTTGATATATTTGTGTGATTGTACTTTTGTACAAAAAGTACAATCACACAAATAATTGTAGGACCTGGGCAGCTTTACACATTTTCAGTGTAGCACGTCCGTATTATTTTACATTCTTGATTTTTATACTATGTACAGAAGTAAGGGTGACAAACGAGCCACAGTCCACCTGATGGTAAATTGATCCATGTACATCATATCTAGCTATTTAAATTTTTTATTTAGAATCAAAATGGAGATGAGTTGTCACCCATGAGGACCAAGATGGAATGACTCGTTACCAGTAAAAGGGAGCTGCGGTTTAAACACAGCAGCATTATGTGGCTTTGTCAAGCTGGTGAGAATCTGTGCAAACGTGGGCGTTTTCCAGTCTAGGCTATCCATTCATGCTCCAGCTCTAAAAGTGCAAGTTAGTTTAAATAAAACTAGTTTTACGGATTTCATCGCGTATATTAACTTATTTTATATTGCCGAATTCCGAGTACAGCACCGATGGTCACGGGGTCTAAGGGTTTGACGTCCCAATGTCTTAACCACGGCTACCTCCAGATTAAAAAAATATTTTTTTTTATTTTACAAAAATTTAAAAATTTAAACTAGTAGCGATAAAATCGATAAAACTAGTTTTATTTAAATGTGTAGTGTTCGCATAGTTATAAGAAATCGTAGTGTAAGTTAGTCTTTAAACAGTAAGACGAACTAAATTTGCCCATTTCAACGACACCACTTTATTATGAGTAGACTACCAGCGTTATTGGCAAACTACTATAGTAGAGAATATGTTAAGTTACATAACTTTAATTTTCTTGCATTCATTTTAAATATATTATGTATTAATGTGTATAATACTGTATAATTTTACGTGGTAGGGCCATGCTGCAGCTATATTAGTAGTATAGTTGTAGCACGAATGGGTCAGCCCGACTGGGGAAGGACCACGCTCTCACAGAATACCAGCGGAAAATAGCAGCTCAACGCTTCTGTGTTTCGTATGGTGAGTGTAGAGAACCGTTACGTAGGCCCTTTGGAAACGAGGCAATCCATCTTAGTTCTCAGGGATGGCAACGCATCTGCATTTTAATTTGTAATCGAGGATATATGTAGATCGACCACAGTAACCACTTACCATTAGGTGGACTGTGTACTCGTTTGTCACCCTTACCCTATAAAGAAATGCGTATTTTAAAATTAAAAGAAAACATTGAATCGATTTCTTTGTTAAAAAATAAACTGTAAATATGTAATCTATACATCCATACATATGTATAAATATTGATGTGTCTGTTTGTAATATCGAAATTACTGGCTTCAAGTAAGCTCATGGGATTATTTGCGTGCTGTTAAGAATTAAATAACCATTTTTTAATTTATCTCTGTCTCGAAATTACGAAATTAATAAAATAAATGGTTTCAATGAGTATTTCATAAACTATGGCATATAAAAAAAAAACATCGAACAAAAACTTTGGTTTACAATTTTACACAAAATTATATTCTTTCTCTTAAACTTTTGATTTAAAATCGATTTTTAACATTTTAAACTAGTTAAAGGATAAGGGGGTAAAATTAATATGTCTTCAATTTTTATTTTAAAAAATGTCCTATATCGTTATGACGTAAGTTTTGAAATATTAAAACAAATGAGTATAAAGTAGATTGTGGTTTTGCAATAATTGAACTACTGACTTCACTTGATCAAAGTCCACTTTTATAGATCTGCAGGTTTGTGTTAAAGCTAGTGTTTTATCATAGGCATTTTATAAAATTCACTTATTTTTTTTGAAATTTTGGCAGGTGACCTCTTCGTTTTGGTTTTTTCAATGGACAGTCGTGAATCTTTCGAAGAGGTCATTCGCCTTCGAGAGCAGGTCCTGGAGACTAAAGCCAACGCGACCAGCGGTAGCAGTCGGGGACGGAAGCATGTGCCTCGGGTACCAATGGCTATTGCGGGCAATAAATGTGATAGAGATCTGAAGTAAGTCTCCTTATGTTTAGTCATATCGATAAAACAATCTCGCTATATTTTACGACCCGTTTAAAAAAAATGATAATGCACGAGAGAACCCCTTATAACACAAAATACTAGTTTCACAGCTATCTAATGCTGCGTACAGACTTATGTAACGTAACATTTAATGTAACATAAAATGAAAGAATTTGCCGTCCGCAGTAGTGTAATGTATTATGTAATGTGTAACACACTCTGTAACAAATTTTCATAGTGTGGACGCCTTGAGCGCGTGAACTGTGCATTTGATAAGCACGCTAAGAGCATTATGGCGGCTGAACCATGTAACTACCTATATTTTTATTTATTTAACAATATCGAAGTCTACAGTACATGTGTACAGGCGCGCTCTCGTTTTTTTCACGAGACTCACGAGACCCTTTGACTCGAAAGCAAAATACCGACACGCTTCCGAGAGCAAACGAGGGCCGCGAGACACGATGCTACGCGACGAGGGCGCCATTTACACACTCGTACTCGGCATGTCTCGTGGTGTCTCGACGAGCGTGTACAGCCGCCATTACAAGTCGCGCTCAGAGCGATCCGTGATTTGTCGGTTTTTGAACGAACACAAAAGGGCGCGCAGTGTGCTCTGGTGTGCTCGGAGCGCCAGTGTGGACGGGTTGTGGTGAGACGTACACGAACAGGAAATGAACGTCAAGGTCTTCGGCATTTTTTTAAAACTTTAAGACCTCGGAGTCACTAATTGATCGTACTCCATTCTCTTCGCGTATTCTCAGCAAACTAGCGTAATATTCGCGCGCACGCCGGGTACAGATGCGAGTAGGTAAATGTTCGGTTCGTGCGCTCGATGCGTCCATACTGATGAAGTGCTCCTTTCATGTTACATCACATGTTAACGTTACGTAAGTGTACGCAGCATTACAGTCAGACCCGCATTTACTAGGGAAGCACTTCTTATGGATGGCGCAGAAATCAACAAAGGGGTCGCGTGATATCTATGTGGTAGTGTGCATGGGCAAAGAATGACTTAAAATTTCCCTGTGGTGAACGCAGATTAACGTAGTATGTAGGTATCTTATACGAATTCTCGCTTGATTTTGTCTTCCCCATGTAGGGAGAGACCCAAGTCGTATTACTGTTCCACCATCTGCTCGTCCCATTACTAAACTCTCATACAAATCCCCCAATACTCAAAATCAATTTAATTAAATGCGCCTACAAATATGGGGTGAAATATATTTTGTTGTAGTAGAGGGACCTAACTCGTATAACTTTGGGAACCCTTGCTTTGGACCATATAGCAGCATCAAAGGTGTGATACGAATTGCGATCACAAATACAACGTTTGTCAAGAATGGCGATTAAATTTAATCTTTCACCGAATGAAAGAATACTATGTCTAGTTACGGATTATTAAGAGGAAATGCGGGTGGTCTTTTCTCCATACATACGCTCTTGCCCGTTTTCTTTCTGGTTTATGAACTTATAGCAATGGGTTTTTACAGTAAAATAAATATTAACCTTTTCTATGTCTATGTCCCTATGTTTTTCTTTTTGATGATTGCATTCATTATCTTTATAAGCAAAATACTCAAAATTGCCTATTTAGACCGCTGTAAACTGAGGGCTAGTGTCCAAATTTGATAACTAATACTGAAAAAAGTCAAACATAGAGACACAGTGTATATCCTTCTTATTGAGTTTATGAAATATCTTTTAAATTGGTTCAATTTTGGAGGAGGAAATGGTAGAGAGCTAAACCTCGAATTATGCCTTTTTACTGAGGCTATTCAGTCGGACCTGCAGTTGTCCTTATCGAACGCCGAGCGCTCGCAGAGCAACAGCGATAGTTTCTTCAAATATATCTGATTTTCAAGTCTCTCAACCCTCATTTTCTCAATTAACAAATATAGTAAAGATAGAAAACAACATTGTGATTTCTCTTAAATGTTTAGATTTTTTTCGTTTTATTTGTATTAAAATGCTATTTAAAGAAAAAGGAAAAGAATTTATTTACGAAATTATTTCTGGCTTTAAAATGTGCATTAATCAATTTAAAAATTTGCACAGGACTGTACAACCGGAGGAAGCAACGGCGTATTGCGCCACTCAAGATTCGGCCTGTGTGTTCGTCGAAACGTCAGCAAAGAGGAATTATCGTGTCGACGACCTTTTCTATGAATTATTTGTAGTAGCAAATCTTCCATTAGAAATGGCACCAAATCACCACAAAAGAGTTAGTACTGCATTTGGGAGTCCTTGTACCTTACCCCCAACAAGCAGCCAAGGTAGTAGAAGTAAGAAATGTACACTTTCAATAAAAAGAAGACTGTCGGACGCGTGCGGTGTGGTCGCACCTAACGTCCGGCGGCCGAGCATTCGCACGGATCTCATGATCATGCGAACTAAGACCTGTGCCAAGGGAGATGGAGACAGCGTTAGTGGAAGTCCGAAGCTCAATTTAAATAGACTTGTCCGGACCAGCGGCCAGAATGATAAGAGATCCTGCTGCATTCAGTGATATTCAAAGTAATGCTCGAAAAGATATATGCGTATTGGCTTGAGTGTCGTGTTAAAATTGATAAATATGTAAGAAAAAAAGCGATATTATTTGGCAATAAAATTATATTTGGAACAGGTGCTATAATACAAACTGGTCAAAGTATTTTTTAATAAACAGAATGAATGTGCTAAATTGTCAATACTGTAAAAAGTAAAAAATTCGAAAGCAAATTAAAAAAAAAACATTTTTTTACCACTTACTATTTAAAAAGTTTTTTTTTTCTTTGCTAGACTAATAATGGCACTTAAAACGCAGTCAATGTAAAAAAAAAGCATTTCAACTAAATTTTAATTGAAAGCGGATTTATGTCTTCTGGCCTTTTGTTAGAAACACAGTTTTAATTTGTCTTTGACGTTGGTCGAAAAAAAAAATAATTGTTTAATCCAAAATAAAACTGACAGTCTTAAAGCCACCGACTGAACTTTAATGCAAAATATGTCAACGTAAATAATATTTGTGATAGCACAATTTAAGACGTGGATTTTAATGTCTTAATGGGTTAAAATATTTAGGTCTAAAGAGACCCAGAATGTTTTTGTCTCGATGCATTATTGAAAAAAAAAACAGCGGTGCGGTGTTTCAATATTTAAAAGTGTATTTAAAAGAGTTGAAATGTAAAATAATAACATCATTTGTTTATGACACGAAAAAGTTCACGAGTGATGCTATTTTCCTTAAATCCCTTTCATATCACGTCATTTAAACATATTAATTTTGTAATACAAAGAGTTTCAAGGTAGGTACTTGTTAAGTTGGGACCAAATATTTAAAATGCCAAACCTCTTCATTTGTTGCTCTCGTATTCAATTTAATCTAATCATGATTTTAAAATGTATTTATATTGCTTTAAAATTGTTATGAAGTTTTTAATTAGTCTATAAATATTATATTAATGATTGTATTTACCTAATTGTATTCACTTGAAATGTCATATCTTATTATGTGTCTATGTAATGCTGCATATCTTCTTGAAATACATACACTGATTGCTGTAATTATAAAACAAAATTTTCTATGCCATTTTGTGTAAAATTTTAAAATGGCGCGCAAAAATTATCGCATAAAGGACTTTGTCTCTCGTTGTAAATTTATATTATATTTATCTATTCTGTGTTTGCGCTGTCATGAAAAGTAATATAAATAATTTCGTTTGAAGCGGTGCTTTGATTTTACCCATTAACACTATAAATTCTCCTAAAAATTACTTATCTTAATCGTAAAATTGTAACGTAAAAAGGCGACTAAAGTGGAGTTGAGGGATAATAATAATCAGTACCAAGTATCTTTACCTGTGAAGGTTTTATAGCGTAAGATGTCAGGGCCAATTCATGCGATCGTCATTGGTCGTGTACGACTACAATAAATATTATTACATCGGTAACAACTAATATAAAGAAAGTTTTCTTTGGCTGGGATTTGAACACAGGTCCAACAACAGCTTAGTATGCTGAGTAAAAGCAATCCTTAAATAAAGCACAGGAAAAAAGTCAAATTACAAAAAAAGGTATTAAAAATTATTATTTACAGTCGTTACAAACTAATATATTTTACAACTATTAAATACTATTTCCTTAAGAATTATGAAAATTTTTTAAGGTTCCTTAAAAGCAAATTTATTAAACGTTTGTGAAGACGTTCCGACTCGCTCCCACTGTTGATGCTTTTTCTTATCCTTTTATCGTTTGTTTTCAGTTCATCAATAAGCAACATAACCTTAATTTTAAAAAGTCTTATCTGTTCGCTAGACATAGTTTCAAATTCAGGTAGAAGACTAAATAGGAAGTATCGCAACGCGTTGTTGTTCCCTCGACTTGAATCGGCTGAAACAGGTTTAATCATTTGCCCTTGATTGTATTTTACTTTTTTAATAATTTTATCTGTGAATGTTTTTTGCAATGAGGCAGGACGTCTGCGTTTTCGAAAGGCTATAGTCTGTTGAGGTGATATTAATGACTGCGTACTTATAGTTTCAGCTTTTGTTACGGGGATTTCCATAGTCGTGTGCTCCCCATCGGATAGATCTTCAAAATCATCCTCCGGCTCCGATTTTACCGCACTTATTATAATTTCCGTTGTTGGAGTGTTCGTTTCGTTTGCTTGAGTTTCTTCGATAATTTCTAAATTATTTAATGATTTCATAAACGGCATAACAAACTGTAGATAAGCAGTCAAATAATATGGCTTTTTGTATTTCGCAGAAGGCTTCATACTTCTTAAAAACGAACATCGGATGTTTCTCCATTTTTCTTTACACTCGCTTACTGGAAATAGAAATAGAAATTTTAATCCAATAGATAAGTCATTCATAGGTTCATTTAAGACTGGTTCAAAAATACTTTTGTCCTAGGAATAAGCAGGAAGAAACCGAGCGGCTCTTTAAAAACGTTTGTTTGGTGCAGATAGTAGATATTCTTGCACAATTAAATAATACAAATCATATTAGATTAGCTTGGTAGCGAAAACTTCGTTCCCAGGATCTATACAATATATCATTTATACAACTTTTGTTTGATAAAGTTTTTATATTTTTATATTTATGTTAAAATTAATGACGTAACCTAGCTTGAGTATTCCAAGTATGTTCTTTTGTAGTATTTATTTTATTAATGAATATCACATTTTTAAGGTTCAGTAGTTACACAAAAAGGAACCCTTATAGTTTCGCCATGTCCGTCGTCCGTCCGTCCATCCGCGGTTTTGCTCAGAGAACCTAGCACCTACAAATCTATAATTTGGCGAAGTTATAGATATTAATCGCGCCTAGAAAACTGTGAAATAAATTCTTAAAAAAACATTTTTCTTTTAGGTACTTCCGATACAAGTGAATGGAGGATGATTTTTTACGGTTTGGGTCTTTCAAAAATATTGGGGGTGTGGAACAACATCTTTTCGATTCAGGGGTCCGTTTGCGAAATATTAAGCTTTAAAGTAGTATTTACCGCTGTTTTTGGAAATGTGAAAAGTATACTAGATAGTGCCATATATAATTAAGTTAAGTTAAACTATCACAGCTAAGTAGACTTACGAAGTTAACGAGTAATAGTCGACCAACTTATAAAATGCACTTAGATTGGTAAAAATTTCGTTACAACTCCATATAAATTAACCTAAAACTAGCTGCATTAATAACTTAGTAATGTTATTGTAAACTTAAAAATAAATATTTTATGAAGAAAACGACTTATATGCTACTATTAGCTTTACTTTTTCATTTGTGGGATAGATAGGGTATTATTATAAAACTCCAAAAGATTTTAATCTTTTTGAATAGCACTAACACTCCCTATAAGGCTGATTTGAAAATAAGTCCTTCAGTTACGATCTTCCTATTTGGGCTCATTTTTAGTCGTTATAGCGGTCAAACCGCGAGCTCACTTATTATGCTCAATATCAAGGAAGCCCACATATTGTGACGGACAACTACGGAACCCTACCTCTACATTGTGCGTGTGCCGACACGGACTTGATCAGTTTTTTTAAATTACTATTGCTGTTTGTTGCTATTTTTGTAAACATTTTCGTAAATGTACTGAGAGACCAAAGTAATACACTCTTATAATTTTCTTACATTTTTGATTAAGAGATTTGGGTTTTAAAAACTTTATTGCTCTTGTGTCCCTCTTCTGCAAAACAAATATAACAAATAATATACTTTTTAATACCATACAGTTTGAATAATCCCCGTTTATTATGTGAGTTAGATTTAGTATTATTATTTTTTCATATAATATGGGAGACAAACGATCACACGGTCAATCTGATGGATGGTTAATGGACCCATAGACATATACACCTACATATGTTTTCGATAAGAATACATATATATGCGTATTTTCATTGAGATTGAATGCTTCGTTTCCGATAAAAAGGGTCTCTGGTTTTCTACACTCACCATACGAAACACAACTTCATTAAGCTGCTATTCGTGCGTGATCCTTCCCCGGTTGAGCCGCCCCATTCGTGCTACAGCCATAATAAAGCTGCAGTGGTTTTAGCACGTATAGCAAAAAATATTTATGTGTTATAATATATAATTGATTTCGATTACTAAACCCATAACCTTCGACTGTTATTTCCTAGCAAAGAAGTTCAAGTGTTTCTAGATAATTTTTATACACTAATGCATAGTGTTTAAGTAAAAAATAACAAGATAGTAAAATACTAACTTAACTTATTAAATAAAAGTAGAGCATTAAAAATGCAATATGCACCCACACAATACTAAGTGTAGGTATCGTAGCGCCATCTTCCGAAAAAAGTAAGCAACGTTGTCATTGCATCACAAGCACACAACGCCTTTAACATTTTAATAGCAAATTAGTTGGCGAGCATTTGCTTTAACAACAATATTTTAAGTAGCATTGTAACTTTAAAATTAATAGTTTTATACCTATTAGTTTTGTCAATTTATTTATGGAGGTAAATGGAGGTTCCAATCTACTAGTTTTTAAGGCATTTACTTTTTAAAAACGAAATAAAATTTATTTATTTATTCATTATTATTTATATTGCTTTAGTAAAATTGTCATAATATTATGAATTGCTAACAATCTATAAAATGACATGATGTATGTGTGACCAATTTTAGTGCTAAAACGAAAATAACTACCTAGGTATTATCTCTTTAGTTTTAAAGGTTATATTGTATTTTGCTTTAAAGGTTATAATATTGCATGCATAACTTTTACATGTTAATATCGTCATGTACCTGTAAGATTATTGTTGTGCGCGACTTCGGCCCATGCCTCCTCTGTTAAATCCTTACGATTGTACTCTGGCAAGTTATTATTATAGAGACATGGATACTTTTGTATCTCTTGAACCAATGTTATCTCGGCAGTCATATTTTAATAGGTGCAATCACTAACGTAAATGTAGTACGACCCGAGGAACGAGACGCGGTTACTGGCTGGTGATTGTTGTAATCGCGTCGCGCCGCACCCTCCCCGCGTCGCACCGCTCTCCACGCCTGCGTCTAGTCTGGCCTCGCCCGATCGTCTCGCCGCACCTCCCCGCGTCGCATCATACCCCTCTCGGGTAGCATTGCGCGCTCCGAGCCGCGTTCCATGTGTTTAATTCTGCGCAGCATTTTCAACTCGTACACTTCACATTCATTTTACTACTAACGTAGCTATTTCTATTTTATGATTTAGGCATTAATAAAATGAGAGATGAGCAGCATTCTTTAATGTAATTCTAAACACTTACCTTTTCTTTTTTTATAGGATAGGGTGACAAACGAGCACATAGTCCACCTGATGGTAAGTGGTTACTGTGACCCATAGACATCTACATCTATCCTCAATAAAGACTCAAGATATCTGTAGATGTCGTTAGATGTAGATACGCAGCAGATGCGTTGTCATCCGTGAGGACTAAGATGGAATGCCTCTTTGCCCCTACTTACCTACTTATATTATACCAAACAACTACTTATAAAAAAAAACAAATAATATTAGCGAAAGTTTTCGGTCCGTTGGAATTACAGTACCTACCTAATGGATGTAGAGCAATAAACCTTTTCCTGTATTTGCATAAAACAAACCGGCTAATCATTTGCCATTTTTGCGAATTATTTAATTTGGAAATTAATGAAATAGTGGCAGAGAGCGTAAAACAGAGTTTTTTAAACTGTGACAATGGTGTTAATGATGTCATATACTTAGTAATATTAAAATTAAATAATTATAAAAACATCATTATCATCATCATCATCATCATCATCATCATCATCAGCCTGCGGCAGTCCACACATAAACATAGGTCTGATATATATCTAAAAATACTCTTAAAAGATTCATAATCCAATTTTGTTATTTGTTTGTTTAATCTTTTAATTCAATCTTAAGTTTATCAATACAAATAAATAAAATTGAAGTGTCTGTTTGTAATGTCAAAATAACAGCTTTTTACTAAATGCATATGAAAGTATATAGGTACGGTACCTACTGTCTGTCTAATCTCCGAAACGGCTGGGCCGATTTCGACGGGACTTTCACTGGCAGATATAGCTAATGTTATAAGGAGTAACTACCTACTTATATTTTAGAAAAATAATTAGGGGAACCCTAATTAACCTTAATTATAGGGTTTTAATTATTAAACATAATTAAAACCCTAAATACAGGCGGGTGAAGTCGCGGGGAACAGCTAGTTTATATTATAAGAATTATGTTACTGCTTTGATACCTGTCTACTCTTTACGTTTGAGTTTTTGTTGTTGAGTCACCGGTTTGTCACCGTACCTACTCGCCTACTCCACGTTTATGTCTACGTCTATAGGCTGCTTGCCGCAATGTTATCAATGCGTATTGGTATTATAGTAGGTACTACCAATTGCGAACGGGCAGGAGGAGCAACGGGGAATTAGGTCGCTAAGTGACTTGTTTTAACGGCCTGGCTTAGATTGATCTAAGCGGCCAGGTTGCGAAGGTTATCGGACTTGAGGCCAAGGTTAAACGAATACCATACGTACGTACCTACGTCTTTGCGCTTCACAGACACTCACAACAGATTATTAAAATGGTGCTTGAAAAGACTTTCAATTGATACTCACACAAGTAATTAAAAGAAAATCTACTTCATGGGTGATAAAGGTTACTCAGTGACTAAAGTTTTCAGAAATCTTAATTTTAAAAATCTTAATTTTTATTTTTTACGTCCTTATTTAGCATAATGTATTTCATAACTATACTAAATCTACGTAAAACTATCTTAGAGAGAAATGTACTTATGTTAAATACAAATCGACGCCCAGGAGTACCTGATTTTTTTTGTCGAAGAAAACAGGCAATTTATTTCAAGCAAAAACTGGCATGCACTGATCAAACGCACTCATGTCAACTCGAATAAAAGATAGACGATAATACTATTGGGGGATTCCAGGGATCCATTACATAAATATTAATAACTGACTATTCTGGCTTGTCTTGGATTCGAATCTCAGAGCCAACATTTATATTAACTCAACATTATATAAACAAAAATTGTTGGTTTTTGGATCTGGTTTTTTGTGCACAACTCACTACAGATCTCATTGCTTTAGCGTTACATTGAATGTGGATGATTAGCTATGGTTATATTAAGACAACTGTGTTTGGTAATCCGTAAGCTGATAGTACTATAATATCTTGTGCTCAGTTGACACATTCCGAAATTATTCGGAAAGTGTTATCACGAAATCCGCCAGGCGTGCCGCGTTATCATTATCTAGCAAAGATTCTCACACAATATCAAAGAACTCATAATTGAAAGATATGATATTATCATCGATAGTTCGGTAATTCTTCTATCCAGTGTTTATAGATTTTATTACATGCGAGCAAGAAACAAATTTATAAACTAATAATTTATGGTTAACTAAGCAACAAGATACTTTAACTATTCACTAGCGATCCGCCCCGGCTTCGCACGGTTGATTTCTATCAGCTGGGGCGATCTCGACACCAACGCCACCTACCAGGTCCAATTGTGGCTCTAAACCATTCTCTAATCAACTTAATCACATACACAAAATTTCATCAAAATCGTTTAGGGGGAGTTCAGTCACATACATACAGACAGATGAATTAACATAATATATAATATGCACATATTATACATATAAACTTTCCCATAGAATCATTCAGTCTATTGATGAAATTGAATTATAATTCGTTGCGTAGTTTAAAAGATCTAAGCGTACAGACGGCGGGAAGCGACTTTGTTTAATACTATGTAGAGAAGAGACTTACGCCGTTTAATACAAAAATTAGTTTAAAGATAGTTTGAGGTATAGTCTCAATAAGGAAGTATCTTGTTAAAATGCGATTAAAAATGTAAATTATGGTATTTAACAGGAAATGTCAAATTTCGTGAAGTATGTGGCGCCACGGCTAAGGAACATCTTTATCGACAAGACTCTCCTATAAACCCGAGACTATCAAAACCACGTTCTGTTTTAAGAGCGACGGGGTTGATAACATAAAATATAATAGTATTAATTGCAGAGGTATTTTATGTAAAATGTCAATACTGCCAACCATAACGGGAAAGATTAAACCTTATAAATAAAACCATATTTATAAACGTTTGCTAGTAGGTAAGTAACTAGTGCTAATTTTGAGTACGAAAGCCTAGACTGGCACGTTTGCGGTTGCAGTATCGGCTCCGTATATTTTACAATTTAAAAATATTTCTAGATCATTAATTTAAAAATTAACTCATTCAGTGCGACGTAAACATAACAGAAAAAAAATGAGACTGTTATTTTGCATTATAATTAAGTAATATTTCAAATATCATCCTCAAACTTACGCGGTTTTAAACAACTATCAAGTTAATTAATAGAATCAGGCATTTCTTTGCGGAAATCCATTATAATCGGGTTGTTATAAACTAATTTGCTTAATTCCGCGTAAAGAAAGAAAGAAAATGATGTGTCCTGCCCAGTTTTAAGGGGATCTCCCACCCTCCCTCAATCGCGCGCACTATACCCGTCGCCGTCAATCTCAGCACTACCATTCCCAGCACCACCACACTAGGCACGACACACCACCTTTGTGTACTCGTATAATTAGTGTTGTGTTAATTGCAATAATCTTGCCGAATAATTGAAAAGGACGGTGTTATATTGTTTGGTGATTGCTTTCAAATACACTCATTATTTCAACGTAAGTTAAAGAAAGACTTGATAACGAGCTATTAACGAGAGCTATTTTTAGTGATAGACAACGTGCTAAATTGGTGTAATGGATTGTTTAAACATATGAATGCTTAATGGATTTAAGAAATCTGAGGTCCAAACCTATCTAATGTTTGTTTTTGATTAGACATAGTTTTAGTTTTTTTATAATGTTGTCGTAATCTTTTTATTTATATTTTTTGTCATAATTTATTTCATTCTTTTTTGTTGTTTTTGCTTTTACGCTTATTTAATTTGAACATTACTTTTGTCATGTATCTAATTTTTATTTGTTTTTGTTTTTTATTATTTTTTGACATTTGTATTGTTTGTATTTGTACATTGCAAAGTTATTTGGCAATTTTAATACAATAAAATCGATTAAAATTATGGAAGACGTCACAATGAGAAGACGAAAGAGAACTTCCTCTGACGACCCTGAGAACTAAAATCTAAATAAGTCAATTGTTAACAAATTCCACTCTGTTTGATACAACTAGTCAAAGTGAACATTTAATCCACGCCATAAATAAATCGTTTGTCGATTAAATGAATCTACAATTATACTCAGTAAGAACAGAACTAGAGTCAGCGCACAATGAAATTGGAGAATTAAATTCGCAGATTCAATTGATGGAATTAAAATTACAAGAGAAAGACAGAACTGTACATTGTTTAAAAAACTCACTGGTGATGACAAGATTACTTGCATTACCACACATTGCTACCCATTGCAAAACAAGACAAAGACGCGTAGGATATTACCTCTGCATGCTTCCGAAATTGTTTGCAACTTTCATATATGAATCGTAGTAATACCGGTATATCTAATTATCTTAGGATTGAGAATATAACCAGAGATAAAGAACCTCCAAACTATGTACATGAAAGAAAAAAAATAATAAACAAAATTACAAATACTTCATCAACACCAAAAATCATAATCTTAGGAGATCTGCAAGTACGATGACTCGCTCAAGAAATGTGTAAGCAGAGGTGTAAAAACAAATGGAATAATATTTACTCAGTTTCCGGAATATGTAAACTAAATGCATCCAGCGCGCAAATATTTGACAATATTCATAATATATTAGAGACTATGAATACAGATGACATTATAATTTTAGGTATAGGAAGCAATGACAAAAATCCGTATGTATTTCTGACTGAACTTTGTTCTAC